GCCCGACTCATTTGTTATTGTCATCTAACTGTAGAGAACAGCAAACCAGAGGATAATTTTGAGCTAAATTACATCGGTGTTTTTAATCAAGAAGCCAACATTATTGATTATGTAATAACTATCCTCTCTGTTTATTTTAATCCTTGAGAAAACAATCACTTCTGCCTATTCCTGAAAATTGTCTGCTGATGTGTGTCATTAAAACCTCCTTACCCTAAGGGCTACTCCAGATGAATAAAAGCTTGGTGAGACCTGAGCAAAGCGGGAGGAGGAAGTCTTTCCACAGGAGGAAGTCTTTCCGGACTTGCCCGCCTGGTCCCCCGGTATTGCAAATTTATCTTGTGTCTTTTTGTTCATTTGTTGTGCGGCTCCTCTTTCAGATACCGAACCCTTCTCCACGCGGGTCGTGGAGGGAATCACTCAGCACTTCCCCACTACACTCACTCCACCCCTGATTTGGAGACTTACTGCAGTGCCTGAATCTAACAAGACTCGGTGTGGCGTGCTGCAATTAGGTGCATAAAGTATCAAAACAGACAGTTCTTGCGATTGTTAAGTCCTGAGATACAAAGACTCCATGGCATTACCCTAAATGTGTGTGGGGAGAGGCCTTCCTTCCCTCCACTCCCCAGGCCGCCCGCCCTCTGAGTCATCAGAGGATCAGCTGCACCAGCTCTTGATTCCATACTTGCTGGGGAACTGAAGAGCTGGGCTGAGTTATCCAGACGCCGCCTCACACGGCACTCCGACGAAGGCACATGCTGCTTGTGAATGGTGAATGACGGTCAGTGCTGGAACCAGAGCCGGGGAATGTCATCCACAGAGCAGGTGCACAGGTGTCTCACTCAGCTCTACAAGTTTGTGATGACCTCTCCATTTTGGTGCTTTTGGGGTACTCCCAGCCTGAACCCTGAAATACTGTTCCATAGACACTGATAAATTCAACATTCAGCACGGTGCCTCAAGTTTCATGGGCGGTTCTTAACTATTTGTTGAGTAAATGAGGAAGGTGAGGACCTGCATGGCATGTTCCCAGGACTTTGGTCAGGACTTTTTATACACACATTGCATTATTGCGTTATATTAATCTCACAACAGTTCCCAAGGGAGAACACTGAGCTCAGAGAGCACATAGCTAATCAGTGGTGGAACCAATTTTCTAACCAGTTCTGTCTCCTTTGAGCCTCATACTGTTCTTTGTACCACTTACTAAGAGTAGCCCAAAAGAGGACCTGTCTGTCCCAAACAGGGGTTCCAACCTTTGCCCAACTGTTCTCCCCACGTAAGATCTTGGGCTTGACCACAGAACAGTCAGTTCAACACATCAGTAAATATCCCTTCCGTGTGCAGGGCACAGTCCATGTGCTGCCGAGGATACGCCAGCCGTGGCCCCTGCCCTGCAGGAGGTAGAAGGCTGGTAGCCAGGCTAGCTCGGGTGCGCCACTGCCAAGCATGGCAGGTCAGGGGAGATAAAAGCAAGTTACTCCACCTGAGGAATGGGTAAGGCTTCCTGCCATGGCTGGCATCTCAGGTAGGCCTCGAAGGAAGCATGAGAAAGGAGGGCAAAGGAAAGGTAGAAAGTCTTGGGACCCAGGGTGTGGTCTGCTGTGCCGCAGTGAACTCCGAGCCTGGTTCCCCTGGATCCAAATACTAGCCTCGCCACGTTGCCAGCAGTGAGTTAGCTGACTCCTCACACCTCCATTTGCTCACCTGTGAGGTGAGATGCAATCTAACTTCAAGGCTCCTATACTTTCAACCGCCGCTTATGAACAGGCTGGAGCTCCCGCAGCAGAACCACCCAGTGGTGTGAGGGCGGAATGGGACCGCGCGTGCTCGGCTAAGCCTGACTCCTGCGTGCGGAAGTGCTCCACAAATATTAGCTGCTGCTTTTATTACTTGGGGTCCAGCAAGCAGTCCAATTTGACTAGAGCGGAGGACGTGGATAGAAGTATCTTTTCATCCTCAGGTCTTAGCACATTGCTTGGTACATATTAGACCCTCTTTATAACATAGTCCCTGAACCTCTCTGCCCCAGGAAAACAGAGGTTAAAACACATACTCCAAGGGTAGGTAAAAAGGATTAAATGAGATGATATACCTAAAAGCATTGGGCACAATGCCTGGCACATGGCAGGTGTTCAGTGAATGTGAGGTGAATCTGAGTTCTTCCAGGGTCACCTTCAGGCCTGCCAGAGCTCTCTGAAGCAGCAAGGTCTGAGTTTACAATTTCTCAAACTGAAATCTAGGGGCCACACACGTCCCATAGGATGCTAATAGTGTTCAGTTAAAAAAAATCAATGCCTATATATTCCTTTCTGACATGTATTACAACAATCTCACAAGAAAACTCTGAACACCCCTATATGGTTATCTGTATTATTTTTCAATTAGGTGTGGCTACTGCACTGAGGACAACAGTGATTAAAACAGTATGGGCCTGGGCACAGGACTAGACAGGCAGATCAGTGAAACTGGAGAGGGCCCCAAAGAACTACTAGTTCATGTGTGGTTTCAGCACATGGTAGAGATGGCATTTCATCAAATTAATGGGGAAAAGAGGATGTATTCAATGAATGACACTGGGAAAACTAGCTAGCTGTTTGATTTCCTCCTTCGTTCCTTACGTCAAATACTCTATGATGGGCACAGAAAATTAATGTAATAATTTTTCAGTCATTTTAAAATCCCTACCTAATGAATATTCAAATTTTTGCACTCAGCAAAAACTTGCTGTTTCAGACACAGCAGTAAAGCAACTGTTTAGGAATCCCAGTGAACCAGCCACACCGCCTTGCTCCGCACCCCTCCCTACCTCATTCCAATTTCAGGGATCACGCACTCACCATCCCCAGGATCTGGATGCTCTCCACCTAGCTCTTTGCATGGCTGACCCTTCCTCATCTCCCAAGTCTAGCTCAGATGCCACCGCCTCAGAGGACTTCCCCATCCACCCTATCTACAGCAGGCCTCCCCCAATTCAGTTCCTCAGCACACAGCCCTGTTCCTTCTCTTCATGTGTATCACAGCGTCTAACAATGCTGTCGTGTCTGCACCACTGGAACGCAAGTTCCATGCAGGCAGCCAGTCTCACTCACTTTTTAGTGCCAAGCACAAATCAGCTGCCCAATAAACAGCTCTTGAATGAGTTGGTGAATAAATGACTCTTCAGTTTAAATATCTGACCTGAATGACCCTCTTTTTCAAGGTTACGTTTTTTTTCTTCTTTTAACCATAATAAAACCATCACTAACAAACCTGTTTCTAATCTTCCGTTTCATTTTTAAATGTCAACTCACCCGTGCTTGCTTTATCTCTTGTGTATCTTGAGTTAAAAGAAATTTTCTGCCCTGGCAGGGTGACTGGATTAATTGGAGCGTCATCCCGTGCACCAAAAGATTGGGGGTTCAATTCCCAGTCCGGACATACCTACATTGTAGGTTCGAGCTCCTGGCAGGGAATGTATGGGAGACAACCGATAGATATTTTCCTCTCATATTGATGTTTCAGTCTCTCTAAAAATCAATAAAAAGATATCCTCAGGTGAGGATTAAACAAAGAAAAGGCCCTGGCCAGTGTTGCTCTGTGGTTAGAGTGTTGGCCTGTGCACTGGAGAGCCTTGGGTTCGATTCCTGGTCAAGAGGGGAATGGTAAGAATAAGTAAAAGGGGTGATCAGGAGCCAAATTATCAGGGACTTTGTTAAGAAGTTGGATTTTACCTCAAGGAACATGAACTCATTAAAATGTTTTAAGCAGGTGAGTTCTTCCAGCATTTATTCAATAAACATGTGCCCTCAAATTTTACGGTGGAGGGTGAACTTACATAGGCTAAGGCTGGAGGCGGAAATGCTGGTGGGAGGCACAAGGAGCATGGACCAGGAGTTTTAGAAAGCAGTTCTCACAGGACTGGGTGTCTGAATGTATGTGCAGGACGAAGAAAAGGAATGGAACACTATTTCCAGTTTCTGACTTGTGCACATGGGTTAATACTGGTGCCATGATGGGGACAAGGAACACTGTGGGAGGAACGGGTAGGTACTGGAGCAATTTGTGACATCTGGATGGTGCTGCCCAGAGACACAACCAAATGTATGGGACTGGAACTCAGGACTAGAGGCAAAGGTTTGGCAGCCACTGGCGTCAGAGGGTAACGGAAGCCATGGAGTGGATGGCTGTCCCAGAGTGAAGAGAGAACAAATGCCTAGAGCATCCTGAAGAACACCAACAAGGACTCCTTCCTCCTGCTGACTTCCTTGGCGAAGTTTTCAATCAAGGGCTATTTAAATATATTGTTTTTAAGGCCTGTAGCTGGAACCTCAGTGTCTCGTGTCCCAATCCCACGCCTGCATTCCCAGTGCCATCACCTTGTCCGGGCTCTCGTGCTTCTCAAATGGATCACTACAGTCTTCTCATTGGTCTTCTCTTGTAGGCAGGGGGAATCTACTCCCACACTGTTACTATGATCTTCCCAAACTTCATTCTGAGAAACCAGTCATCGACTTAAAATCCTTTAAAAATTCCCTATGCCCATCTTAGGAAAATCGAAACTGCTGAGCTTGAGAAATTAGGCCTCTTGTAATTAGAACCCTACCTACTTTCCTTGCTTCATGTTGCTAACTGTACTTTGCTCTAGCCATAAACCCATGTACTTCCCATATACTTTTCATGTCACTGTGCCTTCTCACACACTGCTTCTCACACACGAATCCACCACCTCTTTCCTGGACCCAAGTAACCCTTACTTGCCCTAGCTGGTTTTGCTCAGTGGACAGAGCATCAGTCTAAGGACTGAAGGGTTCGATTCTGGTCAAGGGCACATGCCCAGGTTTCAGGCTCATCCCTAGTAGGGGATGTGCAGGAGACAACCGATCAATGATTCTCTGTCATCACTGATGTTTCTATCTTTTGCTCCCTCTCTGAAATCAATAAAAATTTATTTAAATAACCCTTACTTCTCCTTGAAAGCTTGGATAAAGTAGTATTCCCCCCAGGAGGCCTTCCCTTCCCAGCAAAGATTTAGATGCTCTTCCTCTGTGTTCCCACCTTTTCTTATGTTCCCATTATGGCTTTCAACACTCTGCATCACTGCAATTAATTGCTGATTTGACTGTGTTTCCCTTGCTCAACTGCATATATAAAGTCTTATTCAACTTTGTGTTCTTGGGAACTGGTACACAGGAGGCACTCAATCAATATGAACAGAATTGATACCCAATGGCTAACATTTATTGGGACTGGGATGTGAAGGTGGTCTGCCTGTACAACCTGCGCTCTTAACCACAGTGAGCTGCCTCTACTAACTCCTTCTGAACTCAACATTTGATATATGTCTTGTTCTTTAAAAATTAACTTTTCTACATTGTGAGCTTCATGGAAACAGCCATCTTAGCCATCTTTATATCCCTTGCAACAATTGTTATGCTTTTCATTATGAAAAGATGATATTCAATAGGTATCAAATAATAACTACCAAATAAGTATTTAAGATATTAGTGTTGGGTTTTAGCCTGTTTCTAGACAATACTATTTGAGGAATTGTTGCCATGAACTGTACTAGGCATATCTTACATGTACCCCCATTTAGCTTCACAACATTCCTACGAGAGCGGTACTTGCTGTTTTACAAATGAGGAATGTGGGCTCAGGTGGGTCATGCAACCAGTGCCAGGTCCCGAGTAGTGTTGGCTTGCTGTCTACTTAAAGTGCATGATTAGCTCGACATGCAAAGGAGAAGGCAATAAACAGTATGATCACCAACTGATCCAGTTCAGATCTGGATTGGTACTGGGAAAGATGCCAAGAGGCCTGCATCAGAGAAACGTGACACGCTGCCAAAGTGATTTCTGACAAGAAATTCCTTGGAGAGGCTGCTGGCAAATGAGACCCACAAGCCATCACCCACGAGGTGGGACTGAAAGGCTGCACTGAAGTCATCCTCCGTCTTATATGGCTACAACTGCTGCATCTGACATCCAGATTCTGGGATAGTTTCATCCGATTTCATTAGTCTGGGCTTTAATCTACTTATCTAGCAGTAAATTCACCT